AAACTGACAGGGCTGAGAGAAAAGCCCAAGGTCACACAGCAAAAGCAGAATGAAGGAACAAGCCAACGTGACCAGTCTCTGAGCCTAAAAACCCAATTCAGCCATCTGTTCACATAGTCTTTCAATTCCTCTTCTCTCAAATCCACAGGCATCCCCCCCCTTTCTATACCAGGCAAGTGTATTAAATGAAGGAAACAGTATCATTTTGAAAAGGTCAGAAGGAAAAGCCAGAACTGTTCTGAGCTGTTCAACATAAGACAGCATTGCTTCCCTTACCACTGCTGCCCAGCTCTGGGGATGCCAAAGGACATCAGGTTAATGGCAGCCAACAAAGCCTCTTAGAAATAGCCTAAGGCTACCTGAGGAGCCCACCCAGCTCTTAGCAGCAGCTGCTAAGATCCCCAAGGCAGTGAACAGGGTCATCAGGTTAGAACTAAGGGCAGGAGCTGAAGGAACAGAGGACATCCGGAAGAAAGCAGCACCTGGTCCTATCAGCGTCTTGCTTACAGTGACCGCCTGCTAAGAGCCCAAGGACCAGGAGGACCATGGTGGCTCCGACTACTGGGAGGGGCAGGGAGGAAAGCTCGGCTTTCTCCATAGCTTCAGGGCTTGCTGCTGAGCATGACCACAGGGCAAGGATGAAGTGGAGACAGCTGCTCGAATGCCTAGTACTGGGAACCTTATCCCACCTGCAGCCTTACTCCAAAGACAATGCAGCAGTTGGGCTCCACCAGGGACCAGGCTGGAGAAACTGAGAGATCGTGTACTGAGAGCTGGTGTAACTCCTGTTTTCATGCAAGCTCACGCAGCATCTCTAGAAGCCCATGTTCACTTCTAGGTATAATTATTTCCTTAGCCAAGACTTGGCTTTCCCTCATCTCTCCCCTGGGCGCTCATATAACAGGTCTACTGCACTATAGAAGTGAAAGGTGGCTACAAGCTAACAAAACAGCACAAAGTGAGGATGCACAAAGGAAACCCCACCGCTTGAGCCAGCGCACAACTAAGAGCCCACGTGGCTTGGATGACACTGAGGCTACAACCTTCCTCACAGACATTTAATGTGACTAAGGGCTTGGAGACTGGGATTCTGTAGGGCCCAAGAAAAGGGCACAGAACAGACCCTTTGTCCCCGTCTCTCCATCAAGAATAAGAGTCACCACTCTCGCGGATTGGTTAAAGCTGCAGACAGAATTCACTGTTCCGCTCCTAGCCAAGGAGCAGGCATACAGGGGCAAAAATCATCTCTTGCAGACTGACTATGCTGAACCAAGAGAAACATGAGATGCATTATCAAAATCGTGGCCATGTTCTTTATCATATTATGTAGGGACTTAAGGTTCAACATATCAATACTTGATGAAAAATACCTGTTCCTTATTATGCCTAAGATGTTTGAAATGTAGTGAAATAGTGAGGTTAAGCTTGATAACGTAAATCGTTTGATAATAACAATAAGCTTGTCTTCTGGATGGTTAACAACCTAAGTTTGCAGACCAAAATTAGAGAAAAAGGAGGGCTACAAGGAAAGCCAATATTTTGGCCCTACCCTTCTAAGGTCAATTAAGACTCAGGACATATGAGAACTTGTACTGTAACGTCATTTACCTCGGTAGTGTCCCAGATTTTCTGATCAAGAAGGTTATGGGGCCAAAGAGGAAAGTGATCGATGACGTGGAGTGTGCCTAAGGAGAGTCACATGAGGAGAAGACACTCTCTCAGGCTTTCACAGAGAGCACATTGGCCAAGCAATGGCCGTGACTCATCCACATGGCTGCACTGACAAAGGTACAGGATCTCAGGATAAATCCTGAGGGCATTTCACTGACCTTCTCAAACCAAAAAGCTACAACTCTTGTTGCATAGGTTCTGCTTTACCTTGGTCTTAACCATCCAGTAGAAAAGTATGAAGATGAAATATAGGAAGTAAAGCCATGCTGTTATGTTGAGCTGTGGGGGACTCACGTCAATAATTTCTGACATTGCCAATTAAACAGAAGACCCAATGCTATTATGGGCTTCTGTACTCTTTTAGAATATTTTGCTGAGTTTACACACCTATAATATTCAACAACGGAACTTAAAAATTGGGGTATAACTATGAATGTCCATTTTGTATCTGTGTATTCAAAGTGGTTGGGATAGATACATAGTTGCATTCTCTTAATGAATAGAATGATTTTTTCTAATGGTGTTTGTAAGTAGGATCACAAGTCTGCATCTTGTACAGCAATTAACCACTAAGAAGAATATATGCAGTGTATTATTTGTTGAAACTGTACTTTCGATTTGATTTGAAACTGTCTCATTGCTATATGTTTATCAATAAAACTTTGAAAAGAAAAAAAAAATCGTGGCCAATACTGGTAGGGGAGGAAGCACACGGAGTCATTCAACAAGAATGATGTCAAGACCAAGGTGACCTCTGCATCCTCCCAGAGAAGGGTATCTCATAGTAACTGAGCACAAGCAGTGACCAAAGCTGTCACTTCTGCAGTGGCACCACTGCCCCTACCCTGGCATCCCAGTAGCCAGGGCAGGGAACCTGCACACTGCCCTCCAAGGACACCAGAGAATGCTCCATGACTGAAGGCAGCACAAAGCATTCACAGTCTCAGGGGAAGACAGGCACGGCTGGGAGCTGTACCCCAGTGGATGATTACTGCCACACACACACCACAGCTCACACACAACAGGTGAGGCCTCAGACTAGTGGAAAGCGAAGAAAAACATGAGAAAGCTTTAGACAAGGCTCAACATTCAAATTCAAGAAAGAAACAGCAGGCCATTCAGGGATGGCCTTGATGTCACTCCAACCCAGCACGTGGTGTACAGCCTGGTGCCGGGCTGCGGTGCACATGCAGCTCCAGGCTCAGAACTCAGCAGCTGCTGCGTGTCTGTGGCTCACCAAGCACCTCAGAAACAGTGTCACTATCCTGCTGCCCACTTGCAGAAGGAGAACCAACGGCACCATGATACTTAAGGTGTCACGGTGCAGGCTGGGTGGAACCCGGCTGAGAAGGAATCCCCACAACTCCAACACCCACGGCCCAGACACCCCTCCCCTGTGCTATGCGGAGACATCTGCCAACTGACTCCAGAGGGAGAGGAAAACACACAAAGACCCAACAGCAAGACAGACAAACACCAAACCGGCAGCAGTGAGTGTGTCTTCCCACGGAGCCGTTCCTGGAGGAATACATTTGTGTGAGAGCCTAGCAAGACAGCGGTCCAACCCCAGGGGGAATGGGGGCCTTTGATAAGTGCTGGTTTCTACCCTTCATGGAGCTTTTCAAATGGGATGGAGGGATGCAGAGACTCCAGCACGCCCTTCCTCACAACCTATTTTTCCTAACTTTGCCCCTCTCCTCAGTTCTCACCATACCAGTTCCCCTTATCACCTGTGGGTGCAAATACATAGGCAGGGCATCTGGACTATACGTCACCAGTAACAAGCCCATCCACAAGAGGCCCCAAAGTAGCCACCTTGCCTTCAATCTTCCAGCTGACACAAAGGGACTCCAGACTTGTCCTACAGCAAACAAGATTTGGACTCACGAGTGTTGGGGGTAGGAGCAGTAGAATCAGCCCTAGAACTCCCAACACTGGCATGTGGGCAGCTTGGTCCCAGGGACAGCTCCGGGCACAGCCCGCTGGCTGAGAAGGAGCAGCAGATAGATTTGGCCAAGTGACCCTGTGGTGTCACCCTAAAGGCGAGGAAGACTCTGGAGGGTGGGGACATGCACACACCCGCCTCCCCTACACAGCCAGAGCTGACAGCCACAGCTCCTCCAGTGGGCACAGGGAAAAAGGCTCCATGGGCAGAAACCTCTGACGTGGCCCTGCTTCCACCCCTTCTGTCTTCAAAGTGCATTATCAGTGCAAGAAGTAGGGCTGGATCCCAGGGCCCGACCTGGGAAGGGCTGTGCCAGCCAGCTCCCTCCGCCTCCTGCCCCTTGCCCCCAACCCTTTTCACACTAAGGTCAGAACTCCTGCTGGATCTCATATGGGGTAGGCCTGTGTGCATGCAGCTCAGCTCTGCACAGCGGCACAGTGCTGTCCTGACTCTGCCCCTCGGCATCCAGGTCCAGCAGCGTCCGCTCAGCAGGGGGCGGCGGCCCCGCCTGCAAGGGGAGCAGGGCTGGGAGTCCAGGCCGCTCCTCCACAGTGCTGCTGCTGCTGGCGAAGCAGGAGTCCAGGTTGCTGGGTGTCTCCGTGCTGGAGCTGTTGGCTGGGGAGGCGCTGCGGGCATGGCTGGGGGACACAAACCACCAGGGGTCGAGCCGCTGCCGGTTGGCAGAAGGACGCGGCCGAGGCAGAAACTCCAGAGTCTTGGGCCTCTCCAAGGCAGAGTCCTGCTGGGCGCTCCAGCGCCTGGGTGTTGGGGGAAAGACCACGTTGGGGTCAGGGAGACGGGGAAATTCACCTGGGTCTCGGCTGGGACTGGGGGTTTTCAACATTCCTGGTTAAGGAGACAAAGGGAGACGTGAGGTGACAGCACACTATTTCCAGGTCAGATCCACACCGCTTCCTCTCCACCCTGTCAGCACCTGGGCACTTCAGATAGCACCAATCCAGAAGCACTTGCTGAGCACTTACTATGTGTCCTACAGTACACTAGCAGTTACTGGGGATACAGGTGTGAACTAGAGGCCAATGTTCTTAGGGTCCGTAACAGCAACAGGATATATGAAATGATATCAGAGATGAAACAACTTAAGGCAAACACTGGCAAAGATCCACAAGCCAGTCGCTTCTTTGTGAGTAAAATTTTACTGGTGCACACTGTAGATGTGCTCAAGGTCTGCGTTCCAACCACAGCCGCATAGCTGGGTGGCCTAAGCGAAACTGTGTGGTCCGCAGGGCCTGCACACACGCTCAGTCCCTGGAAGGCTGAGGGCAAGAAAAGACACGAAGAGGCCGAGACTTACCTGCTCCATGGCCGGGGCTCACCCCGTTGCTGGAGGGGCTCCTGCTGGCCAGCAGAGCTGCTGGCTTCAGGGCCCCATCAGAAGGAGTCCGACGATGGCCACTTGGTTGTGTGGGGGCAGTGAGGGTGACGTGGGTGGGAGTCAGGGACTGGTTGGGGTCTCGCTTGAAGCGCTCCACCCGGACATTGACCAGGGGGTTATGGGTGCAAGGAGTCCGCAGCGGGGCCTCCGCGGGGCTGACTGGCATCTCATATACCACAATCTCATCACTGTCTGAGCGCAGCAGCGAGCGTGTGGAGTTGCACTCAGAGATGGAGGAGAGAGAGAGCAGTGTCAGGGAGGCAGGGGGGTCTCCCAGCAAGAGTACAGGCTCTTCCTTCTTGAAGAGCTTGCGGGAGGGCGGGCTGGTGCTCCGGCGAGGACGGCTGGCCCTCTGAAAGAGACCCTCGCGCCTCTTCTTCTCCTCCCGGACTGCTGGCTCAGGCTCCTCTGGGGGAACCACAGGGCACCTGCCAGCTTCCAGCAAGTCAAAGCCAAGGCCTGTGGCTGCCAGGACAGCCCCGCAGCCGAGCAGAGCCACCTCACAGCGGCGGTGATGGGTACCGCTGCGCTTGAGGCTGTTGGTAGGTGTCAGCTGAGGGGTACTGGTGGCTGAGTTGACTGGGGTGGGATCCTCCTGGACCCCATCACCTGGGGGGCCGTCCCCATCCTCCCCGCGAGGAAACGGGATGCAGAGGTAGGACTGGTTGGGTGAGTGCTGTAGACGATTCTCTCCACTCTTTGGGCCTTCGCTGTCCTCATCCTCTGTGCAGGTAAGAGTACAAGAGAAATGAAGTGGAAACCAAAGCTCTACACTAGAACCTGGCCTGGCCCTCCAACTCATGGTCCCCTGCTTCAGTGTCAAGCTGGACCTTGAACCCATATGAGTACATCTCCCATGCTCCACAGTGACCAAATCAGAGAGGTCCATCTGTATTCCAGAGCCATTTCCCTGTTTGCACAGCTCTGTTTGGAGAAAAGGGAATATACTAATTCACCACTTCTTTCATAGGCAACCAATCCCTTTGCCCTTTGTTTTTTTTTTTTTTTTTTTTTTTTCTTTTTTTGGTAGTACAGGAACCCCAGGCCTTCCACGTGCTCAGCAAGTTTCTACCCCTGAGCTGCACCTCCAGCCCCACACAGCCCCCTCCAGCCTGTGAAGCACAGTATGAGTTTCTACAACAGTAGGCAGAACAGAAACACCTGATATTTCTATACCCTAAGATTAGAAAAGCTTTAGGATTCCGAGGATAATAGCCTAGCGGTGTGTCTCGAGATGAGTCTTGACCTACACGGGTACAGATCAGTTTATTACAGAGGTAAGAATACTCTGAGAGGGAGCCTGGAGAAGAACTCACCATATGGTACACAGCAAGTGACACTGGAAACTCCTGAGGACAAAGTTACAGTGTCTCTGGTCACCACCACCTCCTGCCCTCCCCCCATGTGGACTCCTCCCTCAATATATGAGGAAACCGACTCAGAAAAGGGAATCCTTACTTCCCGCTACACTGCCCTGAGGTCACTAGTACACACCACCCCTTGGAGAGGAAGCAGGGCAGGCTCCATGACCGCAGTGGGAAGAAACTCAATGGGACACAGGCAGAGCAGACTGGAGGACAGAGTGACAAGCCCCACAGGAGGTCTCTAGGGGCCCTACCGGGGCTTTAGGCTGGGTCAAGAAGTCCTTGTGGGGAGGGGGGAGAGCCAAGAACAACACTTACCCATCTCTGTAAGGCTGGTGAACCCTGGCAGGGCTGGGCTGCCCCTCGGGCCCTTCCCCAGGTTGGGGGCGCTGGATGACCACTGTCTGTAGCCATCGACCAGAGACTTGAGGCTGAAGAAGAAGAAACGAGACCGTTGGAACTGACTTCTTCCTTTACACTGCCTTCAAGGGGCCGAAGGAAAGGTACCCTCCTTGTGCACTGGTCATGTCAAAGAGCCCTGGGAAGCAGGCAGCGGCTCTCACTGAGCCCACCTGCTTTATAAACAGAAGTGCACGTGCGCTAGAGAAAGCAAAGCAGTGGCATGACTGCCCCTTCCGTGCCGCACACCTGAGCAGGTGCCAGCAGGCCAAAGGAAAGAGGAAGCAGGGCAGGCCCTGGCGGCTGGAGGCCTCCCGGGGCCTCCTCAGGAGGAGGCAGTGCATGCACAGATGCAGGACACGACCTGGTCACAGCACTACAAGTACCGCAACACAAGGCAAGCATGGGCCAGGTGCCTCTCGCACCATTTCTCAACTTCCTTCTAAACATCAGCATGCTCAGGCAGCTTTCAAAGCCATCCACTTTTCAAAAAGAAAAATCAGCCAACAAAACTGCACCAACCCTGTGCACGTTGGGAGAGACCTATGTGGGTAGCACAGGGCACTTGAGCCCTCGGTTGATCTGGTGATGAGGAGAAAGAGGAGAGCAGTTCCCACTCAAGTCCTTGCATCAGCTTATTTGGCAAGCCAGCAACTCTCCAAGGTTACTGGCTGGGCACCCTGCCAGTCCCTCACATTACAGAGTCAGGGGGCCATAAAGCACAGGTCTTTTCCCTAAAGAACAGTAGAAGGCAGCATTAAGGAATGTGTGCTCTGGTGGTTTTGAAGATACAGTTAGAACCAGAGGTGGGCAGCTCATTTTTTAATACTTAAAGATCCAGTCAGCTGAAATCCACACTCTCAGAGTCCCAGGCCACCAGAGGGTCAGCGAAGGGCCAGCTTTGTCCTTGACCTAAGAGTTCTGTGTTGGCGATGGCCAGAAACACAAAGTAAAGTGTACCCCAGCCTCTTACTGGTTTCAATCAAACTACTGAGCCTGAGAAACACATGGTGCTAAGCCCACAGCCTTCAGATAAGTTTACACCACTGGACCCAAGGAAAACCACCTGAGCAAGTCAAAACCAGTATTCAGGACTGAAGGATAAATGGTAGCATGTCTTCTCCATAAAACTAAGGATGCCAGGAGCATTCTGGCAATTGGAGTGGTCAGGGAAGTGAGTTACACTAACACAGGCATTTTCCCGATGTGCATGATGGTAGATGGAGAGAGAGAGAGAGAGAGAGAGAGAGAGAGAGAGAGAGAGAGAGAATACAGAACAATGGAAAAGCAACAAAGCAATGGAAGGCTGATTGTTATCAGTGCAGCTGGAGAGAGGGTGAAGATCTGACTCACCCCAAGTGGAAATGTGGAGATTCGGATGGGGTACTTAAGCCATTAGCTCGCTCACGTCTCTGAGGGGATCTTCAGTGAATAGAGAGAATCAGAAGGAGGTGATGGAGCGCACACCCAGCTCCCTGGCTGGCCTCAGCAATGCTGCCAGCCACCCTCCCCTTGTCCAGGCAGTCATGAGAGCCAGGTTTGGGCACTTCAAGGCTACGTTCTCCCAATCCAGGTAAGTCCCTGGGTGGCCACAGGATAACTACAGGTGGCCAGTAAACCCACAGTACCCAAGCTGTCTACAAGTGCGTATTTCCTGTTGAAGATGCAAAGTCACTTAGTGTTACTACACTCAAGATAGTTATTTGTCACTACATATTTTCTTCAGTCAACAGGCACTATAGTTAGAAACATTAAAACTCTCAAAAATTTCTGAAATCAAAAAGGTTTTTACTCAAGACTTCATAATAACTAAGAACAGAAAACTGATGCCACAAATTTTTTAATTGGTTCATAAGTTTGTGAGGAGAAATTTGTATGAGGAGGAAGAAAAGTACAAAATTGCTACTTCACAATGTGAAATAAAGTTAATTTACTATTAAGACAGAAACATCTTTAAATGAAACAGAACCTCAGGATAAATCCTGAGGGGACTTCACTGACCTTCTCAGACCCAAAAGCTACAACTCTTGTTGCATAGGTCCTGCTTTACCTTGGTCTTAACCATCCAGCAGAAAAGTATAAAAACGAAATATAAGAAGTAAAGCCATGCCATTATGTTGAGCTGTGGGGGACTCAGGTCAACAATTTCTGACATTGCCAGTGAAGTGGAAGACCCAATACTAGTATGGGCTACTGGACTCTTTTAGAATATTTTGCTGAGTTAACACACCTAAAATATTCAAGTAACGGAACTTAACAAAAAAGGGGATACAGATGAATGTCCATTTTATATCTGTGTATTCAAAGTGGTTAGGTTAGATATATAGTTACATTCTCTTAATGAATAGAGGGATTTGTTCTAATGGTGTTTGTGGATAGGATATCATGTCCGCATCTTGTACAGTAATTAACCACTAGGAAGAATGTATGCAATGTGTTAATTATTGAAACTGTCCTACCAATTTGGTTTGAAACTGTCTCATTGCTATTTGTTTCTCAATAAAATTATGGAAAAAAGAAAAAAGAAACAGAACAACAGAAATTATTGAGATCGAGAGCCCACCCAGTTAACTATCGGGAATTACAATGATGTCAGAAATACCATCGATTCAGGATGACCCCACTCAAGCCTCATCTAGCTGGGGCTCCCAGCACAAACCAGAGGCTCTGGGTCCTATACAACCTGGAAGAGCAGTGCACTTTGCTGTCTCCCAGCGATTCCACTACGGATGTCACACACAGTACAGACATGGCGCACATCTACCTGTGTAACTGCACCTACATTCCTACAAGTTTTTGTGCTATATTTTCATTTTCTTATTCAATTTTCCTTTTGTATTAGTACACATTTGTGGAGCAGAACGTCTCCGTTCTCCATGGGAAGCTGGTACATGAGCGTCACACATCTCCCACACCATCCCCTCTACTCCCCCGTCTCTGAGTGCCCTGCCCTTTGGCAAAAGATCCATCTCCCGACTTCTTATTATCCATCTTTTGTTTTGTTCTTTATTTATATTTTGAATTTCTAAAAGACACCAATCAATATTTAAGCTTATGTGTCTGATTTCTGGAACCAGTTTCAGAGATAATCTTTTATGAGGCAAACTGCTACTTTCCCCTTGAGCTCAAGTCTGACATGGGGAAGTAGATTTTGGACACTAAATCTTAGTATTTAAAACATTAGGGCCAGGGATATAGCTCAGTGGCAGAAGTCCCTTCCTGGCAAAGTCCTGAGTTTTTTCCCAGTACAAAACAAAGATTAACAAGGCAGTTACTGGTCCAAGGCACTCATAAGCCAGCAGTCAACCTTAGACACTCTCTAGAAAGTCACTAGAAAGGGTGAAAGGGATTACTGGCTAAGCTCACAGTGAGGACACTCAGGAAATGCTGTTTTAGAGTCTCACATCAAGAATAAGAAGCATAAACCGTGACGCGCACGCTTCTAATATCAAACAGCTGCATGCGAGGCAGGCAGAAGCATTCTGGCTAACATCTAGCCAGGCCTACCATGGGCTGCTAAGCTGTGCTCCCCACAGGGAGAAACTCAGCTAATCCTCACACGGACTCCACGAGACGGGTGCCCATGGGCTACCCGTACACTTGCACACTGGGCATGGGGAGCTGGGCTCAAGCCAGGCAGCTTGGTGTTAGCGCCCACGCTCTTATACATCGCGAATGCATGACTTCTCAAGAGTGGGACAGGAAAATCTGCCTCCTAGGCCTCCAGCCCACAGGGGAGGCCCAGCAGACCTCCATGCAGCTTCACCCACCCCCAGTGGCTCACATGTGCCCACGAGGCCACCAGGTGAGCCCACCCTGCAGGCTCCAGTGCCCATGGTGTTACATGCCCCATAAAGGATTCTGCCTTTCTTCTCTTTCCCCTGAAAGGACAGCTTACGGGGAAGAGCCAGGTATAAGGAAGACACTGAAGCCGAGCTACCCACGTTTCCTTAACTGCTTGGGCCTCTTGCTATCCGGGCAGACTACACTGGTGGGCTAAATCCTGCCCATCATCTGTTTGTGCAAAGTTGACTAGAATACAACCATACTCAGCTGCTAACGCACGACCTGAAGACTGTGGCTACTTAGAAGCTGAATGACTGTAACAGAACCTGAGCGATCACAAAGCCTAAAACATGTACTACCTGGCCCTTTAGAGAAGAAGCTTACTGATTTCTGTCCTAGGGAGTTCTCAAGAAACACGAGATTGGAAAAGGTCGCAGTAAAGACCAAGAAGCCTGTAATTTCTCAGCATTGAAACACACCACACAGAGAAAGGAATTCCACATCAGGTTTTTACAGGGGCAGCCATTTTCAAGTGAGAATGAACTCACACCACTTGGCTCTTACCCTTCATCTCCTGAGGGGAGCTCCTTCTGCCCAAGAGTCCCAGGCCCCCAGGTCCGGCCCTTCTTCTTTGGGACCCTCTTCTCCTCCTCCTCCTCCTCTCCTTCCTCTTTCGGGACCACTGAGCTCCGGCCCCAGGTTTTGCTGCTTTCACCTGGTGTCACTGAGAATAACAAAATTGGATAAGATCCAGGAAACAGCCGAACAGCCTCCAGAGTTAGCCCTTTCCCACCGAGCACACACATGCGCACACACAGGAGCAGCGGGGAGGTGAGATCACGTCAGAAACTCTGTGCCCTGGCAGACCATTCAGACATGCAATGGGTCCCCAGCCACCACTCACTTAGCTCTCTCCAAGTGCTAAACACAAACTCAAGCCAGGCAGATACAGAGTTCCAAACACAGCAGAATGAAAATGTTTGCTTTTTGGGCTAGAACTGAATGGCAGGGAATGAAGAAGTTAGTGGGGGAGAGGACGAGGAGTAAGGTAAACAGGAAGAACACAACTTTTAGAAAGGAAGACCTAAAAAGGAAGAAAACGAGGGGTTCAAAGCTATGGGAAAGCAAGTTCAGTGGAGAAAGGAGGGTCTGAACGGACACAGAGAAACCCAGGAGAGGCGGGAACGTTGCTGTGCAGAGCAAGAGCTGAGACCCACCGGCCTCAGGGCAAGCTTGTAGCAGAGACTAGTGAGGGCAATCAGTTACCAAAACAAAGAGAGTCGAGGGGACTGAGGCACCCTGGAGCTATGGAAGCTGCTGTCAGTTCAGGCAATGATGGCCACATGAGAAAGGGAACCCACTGATCTCATTGGAGTTTTCAAGGAAGGCCAGAAATTTACTATTCTCAAGTGAAATCCACTTTACACTGGGAAACTAATTTATATAGATGCATGTATACTCATCTCTTTTAAAGCAAATACTATGATACAAATAAAAGCAGTTCAGGTTTGACTCACTATAAAATATTCGTCAAGTTGTCTTAGTACCTGGACTTTGGAAAATCCCTTCCTTGAGAAGCACCAATAAAATAGAAAGTGATGAGGCCCCACGGGGAGCAGAGTGCACTGGTCCCCAGCCCGGCAAGCCAACCTGCATCCGTATCACATACCAGCCCCTAACTGCCCTATACCCGCTAAGGATCCTTCAGTACCCACAAACCCCTTTGCTGATATCTGACCAAGAGTAAAGAGCAGAGAAGGCGGGAGTAAAGTTAACAGAGATAGACGGGGTGGGGGACCATAGATTTGCGTACATATGTGCATGTATATACACATTGCTGAGGAGAGGTGGCAGAAGTTATGGATGGAGCAAGCCCGGACCAGTCGGTGGCTGGATAAAGCAGGGGACAGAGGCCCCTAGTGTGTTCTGGCCCCAACCAACTTGGGAAACAGCCTCACACTGGATGGCTCGAAGACGAGGAATGATGGTGGGACTTGCAGGGGGGCTGGAGTGGCTGCTGCTAAGACTCTTCCTTTTATCCACGGTGGGGGAGGCCTGCACCGTGAACTTGTGCTGGAAATCTGTTTGGAAAGAAGACAAACACATATATGAATTAGAATTACCATCATCGACTTTATTGAACAAATCTGACATCTGACAGGTCTAAAGGATAGGCCCAGATTCCTGAAAAGCTCTGTTCACCTGGGAAAGGTTCCATTTCAGAATTCTCTTTTCACCCAAAGGGACATGACAAGATGAGTGCATGAAACAATGAAAAAATTCATCATCCAAGTAAACATCATAAAGTCAGTCTTCACCCTACTACATAAACAATGTGGGGGAAACCCTCAACGAACACATTTTTTATCAGCCACCTCAAAGAAGCCATGCTGGACAGTGGCCCTATGTATGTAAGCCTATTTTGAAAAGCCTGTGAAAATTCCTCACATAGTAAAGACCTGTACACATAGAAATGAAAATCTGATGTCAATATTTATTCATGGGTTTTCCAGATCTCCATCTCCTAGAATGTATTCTTTATGTGTCTTCCAGGACATCTCTTTTAAACAGCTGCACAATGCATCTGTGGTCTTTACTAGAAACAATGGTGCCATACCAGATAAGAAAACAAGGTGAATTGAAATATATTTCTCACTTTCAAGTAGGGTATTTATGTAGTTTTGATATTGTATTGTTTTTACTATGGGGAGGTATCGTCACCTAAAAAATAAATTTTATTAGCAATTTTCAATTGGGATTTCCCACTAAAAATAAGAGACAGTCTTTTTTTTTTTTTTTTTTTTTGAGGAACTGGGGATTGAACTCAGACCCTTGCACTTGCCAGAGAAGCACTCACTCCACTGAGCCATCTCCCTGGCCCCAAGAGAGAGTCTGAAGCTCCTTCTTAAAAGGGGTCACTCAGTGCAGAGGAGCTCTGGCTGGGCTGGAGAGCCCTCCAAGGACACATGCTCACAGCCACCTGGAGGCACCTCCCACAGTGCAGCGAGCTGGTGAGCGAACACCTGGGCACCCTGTGCGATGGGGAAAGGAAGGTTTAGAACAGCCGCCCCGGGGACACAGCCAGAGACGCTGACACCACAGGCCACGCTCAAGAGATGGGGCTGGGGCACGATGAGGGCATCACACGTAATATGGAGTTAGCACACCGACGTCATGCACAAATTCATGAAAGCAATTGCTAGAGCAACTACACACTGACAACAGCTGTTCAGCTCATGCAGTCTTGACTTCCTGACTATTCTAGGAAATGTGACTTAAAATCCTGGTTCCGAGCCTCCTTTTCAGGGTCGAGGGCAGGGAGATAAATGCCACTCACCAAAGACAGCGGAGCAGGGTACCAAAGCTAACCCATGGCAGGAAAGCAGGGAGCCAAGAGAGGGAGCAAGGGCCCCAGAGCCCAGCATCAGAAACACAAAACTCACAGCTCTGAGTTTTGGAGAGTGTTTCATAAGACACATAACACACAACTGCTTGTCTGCACCCAGGTACCCCTGCTAGACTGGGATCGCCTGCACACAGGGTCTATATTTCCTATATTTGCATCCACAGAGCAGCACTCTATGGGCACAGGCTAGATGCCCAAGGGGAAAGACTCCATGCTATCTGAAAAGAAAATAATGCACAACAAGGAAACCGGCAAACATAGCCTTTGAGCACATTCTCAGAATTCCCTCATCTGCCTAAGGCGTAAAATCTTCCACAACTGTTCTTTTCTTCTGAGTTTTAAACTGCACTTTGTTACAGGAGCACAGTCCCTTTTTATTGAATCTTATTGTGCCCTCTTCCCTAAGTTCCTTACACTTCTAATAAGCCTGCTCTCCAGGGCCTTACAGACTCTGAACACAAAGAACATTTTTATCTCTATAAACACACACTTGAACCATCACCTCCCTCTATAGGCGTATTACATGCCACAAAGATTCTAATTCATAGTTTCACATTTCTCTGCATTTTTCCCAAAGGCTCTAAGTCCACAGATGCATTTCTGAAAGGTTATACATTAGATCCAACCTCGACTGCACTCAGAGAGCTAATTAGTCAAAGAAAGCTTAAGATGAGCTGCTGCGCAAAGCCAGGCTGCTCCCGTCTCTCACACACACCAGACAACCGCCTTGCAGGTCCCTTCTGCACTGGTGCCTACAGTGGTGGAGCCACCTGACTGGCAGCCTGGACCAGCCAGTCTTCGCTTCATGGTCTACATTCATTCTCACTCACTCTGCAGTTCTGGAATGGGGTGGATTTTGGCAAAACAGTCTTTCCACAGCACATGGGGCCCATTCCAACAGCTCCCATGAGGCCTCCTCGAGGGTCTCCAAGTTTAGTAGCAATTCCTACAATCCCCCCACACAGCTCCTGGCCTGGCCCCTGCTGCGCACCCGAGGCCACTGACCAGAGGGGAGGCTGATGCGGTTGCCATCTCTGAGCTTCAGCCGGCCCTTCCGGAACTTGCCCTTGCGTTTCTTCACCCTGGGCTTCTCCTGGCACAGCTGGTGGATGATGACGTTGAGCTCCCGCTCCAGGATATCAATCTCGCGCTCGGCCAGCTCCTGCTCCCGGCGCCGCAGCAGCTCCTCCTGGTTCTTCTGCTGGAGTGCAGCCCGGGTCAGCTCCTCCTCCCAGGTGCGGAGCTCCTGTGGGGTGGGCAGGTTCATCAGAGGGAAGAGGGGTCACTCGGCGCAGAGGAGCTCTGGCTGGGCTGGAGAACCCTGCGAGGAGTCATGCTCACAGCCGCCTGAAGGTGCCTCCCACAGTGCAGCAAGCTGGTGAGCGAGCACCTGGGCACCCTGTGCAGTGGGGAAAGGAAGGTGTAGAACAGCCGCCCCGGGGACACAGCCAGAGACGCTGACACCACAGGCCACGCTCAAGAGGCGTGGCTGGGGCGTGGTGAGGGCATCACACGTAATACAGAGTTAGCACACTGACATCATGGACCCACAACAGTTCATGAGAGCAAAGTATGGCCTTGTACACCACACGCTCCACAGTGCGGGCTGCTGTGAGAATGAGTCCGACCTTTGCTAAGACCAGGAGTGCCCTCCCAGGGGATGCTCCACGACCTTACAGCGGGTGCCTGGAGCCACAGGTAGTGCTGAAACCTACACACGCTGCACTTCTTCCTCTAATGCATGTCTACGAGCAAATTTATTTTAGAAATTAAAAATAGAGTTAAGCAACAATAAAAAATTATAAATAATTTCAGGTCCATAATAAAATCACCAGTGAGGCCGGGGAGATGGCTCAGTAGAATAAGCGCTTGCCTGGCAAGCGCAAGGGTCTGAGTTCAATCCCAGGTTCAGCCAAAATAAATAAATAAATAAATATAAAACCACCAGCACTGCTATTCTTGCACTTGAGACCATACTTAAGCAAAATAAGGGTTAAACATGAGCTCTGTAACACCATGGCAGTTGACCTGATACCTAAGACGTTACTAAATGACTAACAAGCAGCTCCCTGGGTCAGAGGGATGACAGACATCGGGGTGGGACCGTGCAAGATCCTACTACACTCTTCAGAATGCATGCAATTTAAAACTTCTGGAATTTTGCATTTAATATTTTTGGGTAGTTGACTATTGTTAACTGAAACTTGACAAATGAAACCATGGAAAGGAGATATCCCTGGAACTACTTACAACAAAATCCAATTTTCATTTTTCTGTGAACACATTTTTCTTACTGGTTTATATAATTTATAACTAATGATGATTTTTCAATCAAAGATAACCAAGAGTCAGTGATTAGCAATCTGAAGCAAGCTAGCCCCTCTATGAGTTCCAGAGGCTACAGCCGTGATGATACAACAGTTTCTCAAGATTGTTTCATTTAATATTCAGCACAGGTCTACCCAGCAGGGCCTCTAACAACTGTCATAAGTTCACCCCACTCTCCTGAAAAATATCCACTGACTTGCCAAAAGGTGCTATTTAGGATTCCTGTGTTCCATAAAACCACTTTGAACCAGTTCCAAAATTTATTTCTAAGCCATTGGGGTAGGAGAAGAGCAGCAACGTTGCAAGAACACAGGTTCTGGCATAGGAGGCCCACAGCCAGAGTCCTGCTTCCCCACTCACTGGCCCCGTAATGGGGAGAAACCACTGCGCCTCAGCCCTGAGATGGCAACAGTCACACCTCCAATATTTAATGGTGACGGAGCCACAAGACTCCTGGACAAAAGGACAAAAAGACCCCATCAGATGTTTCAAGTAAAAACAAAACAAAGTAAAACCAAACCCCTAGAAAACAACAAAGCCATGTAACATTTTAGCTACTATTACTGTTACATTGCTATTAACTCCCTAAATTCCTACAGTTCAGAGTGAGAAGCAAAAAAGAAAAAGAAAGAAAGAAATTACCAACTCCTGTGGCCATTCTTCAGCCTGGGCTGTGCCCTGCACCTACAGGAGGAGCTGCCTGTTACTGAGTGACTTTGCTGGCGTGCACAGCGATGCTGGTACTATCCAAGGAACGGCCGATGAAACACAAAGTCTAGCAGACCGAGACCCCCGTGAACGCCACACTGGTCTCAGCCTGGAGCTCTTTGGGGAAAAACACACAATTTCAGGTCCATGGCATGTCTAGTCCACAATCTGTTTCTGACTCTGATACCAAAAGACACTGGTGGGAGGTTCTGATAACTTTTCTAAATGTTGAAGTGGCCCTCCATGAAGTGAACTTTTCTCTAGAAGTCCACTATAGAACCAAAACCCCCGTCCAGAATCCTCTCGCATCTTCAGCCGACAGGCAAGACACCCCGCTGGCAGCTGCCTGCTGGTGCTCCTCTTCTGTGTGCACACTTAGTGGACACCAAGCGGGAAGTCTTGTGTCGAGATCACACTGTCAGACAGACTTAGTCGGCAGCCCTGCCCCCAGCGCACTGAGCCAACGCGGGCCTTTTTTTCTGTTTTACCTTTTCTTTGGCCCTGAGTTGGTCAAACATCTCTTGAATCTCATGCTTCCAGTCATCCTGTAGGCAGTGGAAGGAGTCCTTGGGCATTTCAAAGAAACCAGACTCCTCTATGGTAGTTAGCTGGTCCAGGATACTCGTGAAAGATGGCCGTAAGTGGGGGTCGGGATTCCAGCAGTCTGAAGGGGATACAGGAGGAAAGAGGAAGTGTGAATGGACAAAGCCAAATGGAAGAGCTGGGTTCTTCCCTGACCTCACTGACCAAGAAATTCTCCTTTCTCCTTCTAGAAACAGACTAGAATTTAGGTAATCCCAAGCAGAACTCAGGAAAGCTGAGTGAAGCTGGAAATCAAACTGCAGCAGAGCTGATGTTAATAAAATGTAAGGAAACCAAGCCCAAGAGCTTTCTATGTAAGGTAGCACACAAGTGACAGTGTCTGCACATGACTCACGTCTTGGCAAGGGGTAACTACAGCCCTCACTCTCCATGAATGTATGAGACAGCTTCTCCCCACCTCCCACAGCGGAACAATGAGAAGGCCAAGATAAACGCATTAGAGTAGAAAAAGCGAATTTCATCTAATTCCAGCACCACCACCAAGCAACGGGGCAGCCACTTACCCACTTAACTTGGCTCAGTCTTTCTTTTCTCCCTTACAGAACTGTAGGATCTGCCTAGACACTAAGAGTTCCTTTCCTCTGTTGTTCATGCCCTCCGAGGGTATGTAAGACCCTCAGAGATCCTGAAATAAGGCCTATCATACCTTATTTTGTGTTACCTAGTAAGATACCAAAGTAATGCACAGCAGGCCTTATGTACTAAGCTAACACTACAGTCATGGGAGTTAAGTCCCTTCTGCAATCTGCCACAGTGGGGTCCCACCACTGTTTTGTTTTGTTTTTTTAATTTATTTGGCACAGGGTCTTGCTATGCAGCTCGGACTTAGAGTGATCCTCCTGTTTTCAGCCTCCCCAGCACTCGTATCACAGGTGTGCGCCACCACTCCTGGTTTTGGTGGCCAGCACAGCATGCCTGGGACAGGGCCAGCGCAGCATGAGGTGCCAGGGATTGAACCCAGGTCCTTGTGCTTGCCAGGCAGAGACTTAGACCACTGAGCTATCTCCCCATCCACTGCCACTGTTTTGAAGGAGGTCTTTCATTTGCCCACAGGATTCCTCCTTGAGAGAGAAATACTTTTCTTTCTCTTTCTAAAACTGAGCTTATGAAAACTGGCTAACATCTACCAAGTGCTACAAAAAGATACACTGTCACCTGTTTTGTTCAAGAGGCTTCACTTACCTTCCATAAGCTTGGCAAAAGGTTCTGGGCATGTAGAAGGAATAGGAAGGGCAAGTTTGTTCATGGCCACTCCATAAGCCACCGCTAAGCCATCAATGCCTCGGAAGGGCACCTCCCCAGTCAGCAGCTCCCAAAGCAGCACCCCATAGCTAGGGAGGGGAAGAAGACAGACAGCATACAATAAACCAAAGGCAAAGCCTCAGGGAAAAAGCTTGCGAGGCTTTCCCAAGCAAATCGCAGTCCCCCTGACACAGGGAAATGAATAACATGGACACACAAATCTAACAGAAAATGAAGCCACACAGCCTACTAGTGAAAAGTAGAAGTTCCGGGGTCAAGCACACTCGGCTCAAAAGTGTGGTTCCACCAGCCCCCAGCCATGAGACCATGGGCAAAGGGCTGCATCCCTCAGAAAGGGTAACACAGGCCTCAGGTGAGAGCCTGGGGCACCCGCCCTACCTTTCAAGTCTACATAAAGAATTTGTCATGTCCTGTGAGTCACAGAAGGTGGACTACAAAGCTTACTGTAAGAATTATTCTATGAATTCACAAGGCCAGCATAAGAATCAGTCAGGACAAGAAACCATAAGGCTATGAGCTGTCAGAAGAATGGTGCTCGCACTTTCAACACCAACCTCAACTTTCTTATACTAGTCGTCGCTTCTGTGCAACCAGCTGCAAAGACCATTTTAATTTTAGAAAATATGCTCAGTATCTATTTGCTGTGATACCTTATCTGTACAGAGTGCTAAGGCACTCTCCAAACATTATCTAGAATCCCTACACCAAGGCTGGCAATAAACATTATCGCCACTTGGCAGATAAGAAAAGCAGGCCTTAGATTTAGCACACACATAAAGCCCACGGAGGACATCACCGTGGGCCCTGACCCAACTCACAATCCCTGCTTCTTAGGGTATCTTCTACCATTGCTACTTGGTAAATGCTAATTTACCTTTCAAGATCCAGCTCAAATATACGACCACATATTCATTTATTCATTTTAAACATCTACTAACCATTTACCAGGCATAAAGCTCAATGCCAGGGACTAAAACACAGGATTAAAGGCATAGATCTTATATGCAAACAGACTAGTGAGAAAGACAGAATAGACAACAGGTGGAAGCAAACTCATGAGTCACAATAAGAGATACCATGACACAAAGAGGACCGTCTAAAGCAAAGAAGGAGAGGAACAAGAGATGGCTCTTGAGCTACCACCCGTTGCTGAGTGAAGGAAGAGGCCCAGACCTCCAGACAGGGGGCAGCATGCACGGACAAGTTATCTAGACAGGCCTCTAGGTTAGTTCAAAAACAGGCAATCTAGAGCATGGATTTGCTTTAAAGGCCTCTCAAGTGAGTTGGCTTGGCTCCAAAGATAAGCAAAGTGTCACCCAGTGTGCCAGAGTCCACATGTGGGCCCTCCCTACAGCCTGGTCAGTCTCCCTGAACCGTGGTTGTACCCTCCTAAGACTTCCAGAGGTTATCATCTTCTTTATGTTGACAGGGGATGGAGAGCTGCAGGTCCTGACTTGTCTAGACAAGAACTTAAACTTTAGTAGGTGGCTAGATACCTTAAGAAGCTTTCTCTACTATCCCCTTGCTCAGATCCCATGCATTATAGCTACTTTGCCAGTCTGTGGATTCCTGAAGAACAGGCACAGTAGTTCTGAATCTTTACATTCCCATGGCTTACGCCCAGCTCCTGTGCACAGGAGACGTATACAGACACACGAGTGGGTAGGTACACGTGGGGATGTGTACATGGCCAGGAGGACACAGCTTGCCCTGGGTGGGTTACAGCACGCCTCACATGCCATCAAGAGTGGCACTACTGCTCTGGCTGCCCAAGCTTTACCTGAGTGACTTATCCAGACAGTGGTCACACTGGGCAGCTTCAACCAAGTGACCTCGCAGAGCTCTCAGGGGGCTGACCAGGTTCCCAGGCCAGAGCCATTCCCATCCTTAGTTGTCTCCTTTGGGAATCAACGCCCACCTCTGCCCTGGAGAATAGAAACTGAAGGTCTCAGACTTCCTGTGTCCCACCTAGCCACAGATGTCCAGCTCCTAAGCCCCAGTGACCTGGGAAGACAGCAGCTTCCAAGCCACAGACACGTCCCACTTATGTTCCTGGCATCCCTCTATGACATTTTTCCTTGAGCCCTGACTTCCGGCAGAGATGCCTTAGACCACTGGGAAGCGAGAAGAGTCTGAGATGCACTCTCTGCAGCTTTGCCCTCTGCTGGCTGCTTTATTTGCAGTCTGTTTTATTTAAAGTGTTCTGCAGCTAGAAGCGTGAGGCCTGCTGCTCGCCTACAGGGAAGGCCGCCTCAGGGAGACCAACAGATGTGCACTGCATCCCTGTGCCATCTCTTGCGGCCACCACCCTTGAGCAAGCAAGGTCACTTCTCCAAATCTGTTTTCTTGTCTGAACCAAAGACTGCAGAGCCTGCATCCTGGAACAGTGACACAGAATAAACAACAGCAGCCACTCCTCAAATGGAGAGGGTTCGTCTACGGCTGGTGAATGAAGGTGTGGTCTCCTCTGCAGGAACCCTGGAGAGTGGAAATGTCATGGGAGGGCCTCATACTGCCCAAAGAGCCTTGCTTAGGGACACCAACTTTAGAAAAACAGCCCTTCTGGATCTAACTAAACCACTGTGTTCTCCTGTGCCAAGGTCTCTTCAGGTTTTTTTTTTAATTTTTATTATTTAATATAGGGGGTTTTTTTGGTTTTTTGGGTTTTTTTGGGTGGGACCAGGGATTAAACTCAGACCCTTGCACTTGCCAAGGAAGCGCTTATTCCACTGAGCCATCTCCCCAGCCCCTGTTTTTATTTTTTTAAAAAGAATATAGGGGGTTTTTTTGGTTTTTTGGGTTTTTTTGGGTGGGACCAGGGATTGAACTCAGTTCCTTGCGCTTGCCAGGGAAGCGCTTATTCCACTGAGCCATCTCCCCGGCCCCAATCTATCTTAACTATTTTGAATATACAGATACAAAATGGTCCTTCATTTGTATCCCCCCACCTTTTTTTTTTTGTTTTGTCAGAGATGGGTATTCCATTGTCATTTAAATATTGTAGGTGTGTGAATTCAGCAAAATATTCCAATATAGTCCAGTAGTCCATAATAGTAGTGGGTTATGCATAGGACTGGCAATGTCAGAAGTTGTTGACTTGAGCCTTTT